TATATCAAATCAGAAATCTGAATAATAAAATGAAATGAATTTTACTTTGTTGTTTCCTTCTTTCTACTCACCACTCAATATGTAAATAATCAATGTAATCCAGGTTGATGACTACAACACAAGCATTGCTTAGGTAGCTTGGCCTAGACTCACATTTTCCAGTTTTAGTTATTTCTTTTCTTTTTTTTTCTAGTTTCTCAAGTTGGCTAGTTTTAATTTTGAATTCATATTGTAGATTATGCTTACCTGAATAAAATTTACTTTACTTACTTACTTTTCTTTACAAACTAATAGTTCAACGGCTGTGAAATTTGTACACGTGTCTTGAAGGTAAGGGTTAACTAAAAATTGTATAGATTTAATACTTGTAGCGCCATCTTTGTGTTAGCTTACGAACTTTTTAGCCTACCTAATAAATATTACTAAATTGGTGTTTTTAACATACTCACTTTTAATTTTAATATCATTGTCGGGAATAAAACATTCTTTGTCCGTTTCCAAGACTTCTCCTAAACATCCATATCTCAGGAGAATAATCAAAAATACGAAAATGATTTCCATTTTGCATCATGTTGATAGTTGTAGCTGAAAATTCATAATTTTACATTCAATTGATTTCTCACAAATATTGCGATGAGGAAATTGAAATCGGAAACAGAAGAATCTGTTTTATTGTTTATATTATTTATTTCACTATATTACATAAAACAGGTACCTACTCATGGGATATAGTCTAGTTCACAAGTGGCATTTCGCAAAATTTGAGTTCACTTTAGAGAAAATATAGAAATATCGTTACTTACCAAAAAATATTCACATTACTTAAAGCAATATGTTGTTCAAAGAAAGACACTTATCTGCATAGTGATGTGGTAGCTAAAGGTCTAGTGAGGTCATAGAAAACAAGTACATAACGATACCATTTATCACGACAAGAAAATAATATAAACTTGGATTTTTTCTTTGGAAAATAATAAACATTGTTTTTCCAAAAATACGAGACTTTCAATTTCTAGTACTTATACCTAGAAAAGCTCATATTATTCCTTTTACAATTTTTTAATGAAAGTTTGTCCCTGAAATATAAAAAATAAAAGACTAGGTATTTCTTCTAGTGCAGCAGTGCATCGAAAACAAAGTTTAATTTATTGAGTCAATACTTTATTTGATTCTACATTAGATAACCAAATGAAATTCAATTTTAATAAGCCACTGATTGGGTTATAAAAATAATTTGCTACATGAAATTAGTCATTCAATTTCCCGGAGCATACAGATCTACGTCATTTTAAGACAGCTAATATTCAGACAATAGAATAATATATGTGATTAAAAAAATAGGTATCTGCCAGCGGCCAAATCTAGCGTCCGCTTCCCACTCTCGAATCCAATTCACACCA